TTCCTCGGACCGAAGTTTCTTCTGATTCAATCGGAGGAACAGCAAATGTTGTTTCAATTTTTGCATACATATCGACAATGTACTGATGAAACAACTGACGACATTTCAATATATGATTGCAATCGGTCCTCCGAACCATTAACCTGTATGAGTAAAAGTTCATCGCGCAGCCGCGTCTCTCGGATGGAAGCCCGTTCTTCGTAAGTCATATTCGTAATCTTACGTCTTTTTGCTTCTGTATTGCGAATACGACGACCCAATCTCGACTTCTTTGGTGGCATGACTTCGTTTCTTACTGAACCTGAACAAAAAATAAAATTTGTATCTCCAATTTCTTTTTTCAATATGTTTTTAATGTTTGACAGGAAATGCTTTGATTTGCTTGTAGAGGGCGCAGTAGTAGGGGCACGGGAACCCGCTAAAAAAATAGATATATTCGCAACCGCAGATAAGCTATCAACATCAAAAGTAGTCAATAACCGAGCTGGAACCTCAACGCATGTTGTGTAAAAATTGGGCTTAAACGGTTCAGAACTTTTCGAGTCTATGAAGGATGTAGACACGAACAGAGCATTTTTATATATATAGATATAGTTAAGAGGCACTCTTTTATAGGCAAAAATGTTTTTTGGTGTGACAAATTTTATTTTTAAATTCAAATCCCAAATATGACTTTTCCATTAATTATGGTCTCATGCATATGAACACAAGTATTTCTATATATCGAGTATAAATATATATGTATACCCTCACAAAGTGTGTAAATTTTAGTATTTTCAGCCATTTTCAGCCCTGTTTAATTTTTATGTATGTTTTTAATCAGCATCAACAGCAGAGTCAATCTAGACATGGCCGTCCCTTTGTCATTTTGAGAAAGATGTTGAATTTAACTTTAAAAAAATAACAAGAAGCTGGTGCAAGTTTATGTAGCTCTTTTTAAATATATAAACTCTTACTTTAAATCTTCAAAATTTTATAAAACATACCACAACCCACGGCTTTTTGAGATTGTTTACGTTGCAATAATGCTTATTAAAAAGTATATTTATAAAATGGAAAACGCACTCATTGTTTAAAACATTGTTTTTATGCACCCTTGATTTGATTTTTTTAACATAACATAAAATCAAGTCCATTAAGGACATTTCAAGCTGAGTCATATGCAGTTAAAAACAAAGGAATTCCACAAATGTTTTGCCCCAAAATGGCTACACTATCAAAGTTGACGTGTTCGTTTAAACAGCGCAGCAAAATTACAGCATTAAGCGGATTTCCTCACTAGAAGTCAAACACGCACACACATACACGGCGACGACATGCTACAGCATCCATGCGAACACCCAAGATATACACTCACCGAAGCTGGAGGAGAAGAGGAACCAGAACAAACACCCCCAAAGACAAAGACCCTGCCTGCATTCGGGGCTTACATACATATATAAATATGTATGTACATATGCATTCATAAAAAACCTTTACGAGACAAAAGAATTCAGAAAGCATCAAATCCTAGACGAGACCAGAAAAACGGGAAACGAGCACAGGAAGCAATCCATAGCACACGGCACTCACACAAGCAAACAGACGCACTTGGAAAACAACAATAAGAGCTGGAAGAAAATGGTGGCTCGGAGCCCATTCCCATTTTTCAGGTAACTGTTGGAAGACATTAGGAACGGAGGCACAGTGGTGCATCGGTTGTCGAATATTAGACCAAAATAGACAAGGCAAAAGGTCGTCGACACTTAAGTGGAAGCAAAGTCCGCGGGACAGAGAAGGTGATGTTATGATTGGAAGAGACAGTTCTCCCAAAGGGACTGGCAAAGAATATTAATAAATAAATATTGTTCTCGCTTTTATCTACAAAATAGAATTCCTAGACCTATACGACCAAGTCAAGAAAATATAAACATTAGCCAGTGTCCTGACCATAGAGTACAAAAGGCCCAAATCAAAGCATACTTTTGAGACAATTGTACTTATCTAAAGAAAAATTCTTTTTGACTTACGAAATGAAATGAAGTATTTCGATTTCTATAAATTTTTTTGTTTACTAATTTTTAAATATTTAAACAATAAGACAATTGCCACCCACGTGTAACGTATGTAAAATGACCATAAACGCGATATGATATAACATAAAAATATCATAAATATTATGAATACAATTGTATATAGTTTTCTTTTTTGCCGTCTTGCTTTCTCCTATTTTTTTAATCATTTTAAGCTGATCTTTAAATTTAATGATATAGATTTCACCCCCTTAATGGTTTTCTTAATCACGGTCCTGTTTATTCACCTACTTATATGAACATTAGTCATAATATTGATTTGAAATCAATTAAAAAGTGTAAAGCGTCACCGAAACCTTACGACGTCCATATTGGTTTCAAAGGAGCATTAAATAAAATACAATTTTTCATAAGGTTTTCAAAAATCATTAGAAGATACCACAGATGAAGAACATTTTAAATCAGTTTAAAAATTTCCTAACGTTTCTTAATTCCTCAGATATAGTCCAGATTTTACTGACATATTTTTAAGTGTCATTAGCTAGAGTTTTAATGTTCTATTGAGATATTATAAAAAACATTGATTACCCGAATATAACTTATACATTTTAACTGATAAATTTTTAACATATTTTTGTTGGTTTATAGAAGCACAGATTGAAAATTCCACTTCAAACCTTAAGATTCAGTTTCTTAAAGGAAATTCCTAACTGGATTTATAATAGTTGAGGTTAAGGAAAACTTTAACGCAACTTTTAAAAGATTTTCTAAATGTATATTTAAATGTATAAAATAATTTGCTAAAAAAACATTCCCATTTTAAAATATAAGAATACCTTATGGGGAAGAAATATTAAAAAATTGGGTAAAAAAGCCACTGTGCCTGGTTCATTCACCGACCGTTGCATTACGGCTGCGCTGCTTTTGTGGCTGTTTCTGTTTCGGTTGCTCAGTGTAACAGCAACGCCCGAGGAGGTGGGGGTAAAAACTGGTTTTCCGACTCGTACACTCACACACACAACAGCCACCCTCTCCGGCAAACAACAACAGTGCGCAACGAGAGCGGAAGAGCGGCGTTACACAAATACACACACACAAAGGCGCGCAGGCAACAACATTTTCCCATTGGCTGACAGGGCACACGCACACTGGCAGCCCTGGAAACTGGAACTGGCATCGGTGTGTGTGTGTGCTGGATTGTTTACGTTTGTGTTAGTGTTTCGGTTTGAGTTTGCATCGCGCCACCGCTCCGCCCACACACACAGTGTCACATAATTGTTGTGTGCTTGTCTGGCAACGCCTTAATAATTGTTATTTGAGTTTCATTTTGTTTTCGATGCTGTCCGTGTGTGCGGCTGTGGGAGAGACTGTCTGTGTGTGGGCTGTTACTCTCCATTAGCGAGCATTCGAGCTTTCTTTTTTGTATCCCCTTTTTTGTATCCCTTTTTTAACAGGCAATCGTTTTGAGTTCTTTTCACATTTTTTTCGATTCGGCTTTCCGACTCATACGCTCTCGGCTACGTTCATATGTATTGTCTCTTCCGCTTGTCAAAATTCAATGTCAGTTGTGTCACTTCCGTTTGTATGGGTGCCTTGGGTATATGTAACTGTAAGTGATGGATAAAGTCGCCATATTTGTTTCGTTTTGTCTTTAGCGACTCGTAAAAACGGTATTTCCCCTTTTGGTTAATGTGCAACATTTTAATGTCTTCCATAAAAGCGTAAATTTTATCTACTTTACACATTTAAAAGGCCCAACAGGAAATAAAGGCGGCCATAAATATGTACTCAAGAAAGTGAATTAAAGTCGGCAAACAAATAAAAATTACAAGTACCTCCTTATATGTTTAATAACGAGTTGTGTAAATCCCACGATCGTTATCTTTTAGATTGAGTTAATTATAAATTATGTTAAACAAGTTTGGTAAAAATTACTCAAATTTAAGGTTCATTTTTCTTAAATAATCCCAATATACAGATTCTAAATATACCAGGAGAAAAGAAATTAGATTGATATTTGTAAAAACGACATGCACAAAATAAATATTTTACTACAAATCATAAAAATATTTGTATTTCTGATTTTTTAAATGTGGGATACTATTCAAAAGTCTCAATTATATATAAATAAAGTGTCAAGTAATTTGTCCAAACATTTATTAAGAGCTCAATTCAAAAACCATTTAAAGCCCTCGAAACTTAAATCACGTTTTAATTCAAAAGGATATCCAATTATTTTCAACTTTAATATGTTTAAAAGAAAGTTTAGTATTAAATACTATTCTTTTTTGTTTCTTTTAAAACTTCAGTTACTTCTGTTCTGTTCTGATAGTTTTAGATTTTGTAATTTCCCATTATTTTACTGAGTAATTATGATTTATCGTTTGGCTTCTCTAGACAGAAAGACAGACAACTTTTGACACGCTTTACAACTGAAATTGTAATTTAATATTTCACAAACACCACTGCAAATGCACTTTTCAACAGTGCGGAGGAGAAGCAAAGGGACACCACCTCCAGCTCGCTCCATCGAGTCGCCTGTCGACCGGGCAGACAAAACAAATCATTTTCGGTGGCTACCATTTGCAAACAACAAAAAAATGCAAGGAAAACAACAGAAGAAAAAAATACAAGAGTTCCGAGACTGTAAAAACAAACACTTTGCAGCTGCAGCACACGGAAAGAAACAGTTCTTCACGAGATTAAAATCGCATAATAAATTATTTTCTTTGATAAAAGGATATCTCTTATATGGAATTTGTATTAAATTATATGAACCAGTTATTGGAATTAAATATCCAGAGTTATACTTTTGAATACTATTTAAAGAACATCTTGATTAGTTCTGTCCAACAAACAAGTTGTGCAATTCTGACATTGTTTATTTTAAATCCTCCGTTAAAGTCACTTTTCAAAAAAACCCAATCAAGATTTATGAAATTTCTTCAAGTGCATCAGTGGGATATTCCCAATGGTGATTATTATTACTTTTTGGATCCATCTCATAAGCGGGCGGCTGCCGGGAGTGCAGGCTGCATCGCTGGCTGGAGTCGCGGGCCAAGATGGAAACGCGGCGAGACGTCCACGAGATCGTAAATAAGCCACATAAAACGCGCTCAACGACGGGGCAACCGAGGCGACAACGACAACGACAACCACCAATTGGTCACTGGGTGCACTGCGACTTGATCCAACACTAAGCTGACCGCAACTAAAACGCTCCAACCGCCAGCGACGTAGCCGCTGCTCCGCTCCGCTCAGATTTTCTCGGCCCGACTCAGTGCGGCGGGCACTCCGGGTTCTCCGATCCGACGAAGTTCACTTTCGTTTGGATTTGGCGAAACGGTATCGAGAGCAGCAGCTCTTCTGCTGAGCTGGGTCGAGCCGAGCGGAGCCGGGCCTGGGCTGGGACGGGACGGGGTTCCAATGTCGCCTTCGCCGCGGACAATGTCACAAGCTGGTGAAAATAAACAAACAGAAGCTGCAGTGACCCTGACTTGTGCGGCGTTTGCAAAAAGTGTTGCATTTCACCCGAATCGCAGCGACTTTACTTTCTTCGCGACTTCTGCTGAGTTCAGTCAAAAATCGGAGGGCGACGCCAGCTACATACATATAATAAAAGTTATACAAGCCCAAGAATTGGCCCCTTATGTGCAAGAAGAGAGCTTTGATCAGCACTTGGCCCATTCACGACCAGTTGCTAGAAGTACCTTGACAATAAAAATAATTGCAACGGGTTTTAGAAGATTAAAAGGTTCTGATATTAAGGGAAAGACCTTAACTTCAAGTTATTTTGTAGCGAATATTAAACCTAAATACTAGATTTGGCTTGCCAATATTAAGAATATAATTGGCTTTTACTTTCTCAGAAAGTGCTATGATTCCTTTATTTTAAATAGCTTATTATATATGATTTGTCATAATTTATTGTCATCGTATCGTATTTTGGACTTTACGCGATTCATTCATTGATCGATCACGAATAGTGAGCGAGTATCTTTTGGCACTTGTCAGCCGGCTACTTGGCACGTGTTGCCGATTTGTTGTCGCCGCAGCCGATAATGCCTGTTCCAGCTGCCACTGGTTTTTTGTGTCTTACAATATTTCGGCTTCTGTCTTGGCTTTGTTTTTGTTTGTTTTGCTACTGGCTGGCGTCGTCGATGAGCTAATCGCATATGACGTTTATAATTTCTTGCACGCGCAGCACAATTTGTGCCCTCAGCTGCAGAGCTGCAGCTCAGTGTTGTTGCTAGTGCCTTCGCTGCAACTGCAACATTTTCCATTATCTTCGCGCAACGTGCAAAAATTTTAAATATTCTTCTTACTTGTAGTCCCTCTTGGCTAAGATTATGTGCAGTTGTGATTCACTTGACACTGGCGCCGTACTGGAGAGGAGCAACGTGATCTTGCGAAGGGTTCAACCTGATGTAAGCTTATTAAACATAAACTTCCCATAACATTCTTTAGACCTTTTCTTTCTATAATTTCTCTTTAAAATGCCTCAAAGGAGCGGGCGAGGGAATAGTCCTCGAGTCTAGGGGCTAGGACACAGCAGCCCTCAACTTTGCCATGCTTACATGTCAGTCAAACCCACAGGTCTAGATGCATATCTTAAGACGTTCGACGATGGCATAATATTCACATGCATGTGCCCATCGGACTCTGAGATTCCCATATTTTCGGCAAAAAATCTCAAACCCTTTTCTCATAAGGACGAAAAAAAACACTGAAGTTTGGAAGCGCCAAGGATGCACAGACACATGAGGATGAAAACGAACCGTCCATGCGGGCCTGTTATCCGATAGCGGCCTGGCAAGGCGATGCAGAAAGGACAACAGTATATCCAGGATCTCAGCTATTGCTGCTGTTCACTTGGAAACAAAGTTGCTTCTGAGATCGAACCAATTCGATATCAACACGGGAACGTGAGCCGAACAATGAGCGCAGGACATGTGGCGAGGACTATCCCAAAAACCCCGAGACTGTCCCTCTCAGAATGTATGCCACGTCGAAGAAATTCGTGTTGACGCATAAATTAAGACATAAACAATTGGTGGTAAAAATTATAAAAATATTTTAACAGTGTACATAAATATAATAGTTTATAGTTTTCGATTTTTGGTGTGAAAATGTACTAACTGTTGCTCCAGCTGCCATCCACGCTTGACTGCCATTTCACTTATACGGAAGTTGGGGGGAAGCTGGGGAACCGGCCGGAAAAACGTCTATCCGATCCCGGATTCATGGCCAGGCAATGTCAACCAATTGGATTTTGTGGCGGCAGACGAAGTGGCGGCAGTTGGACCAACCTTAGGCTCTTGAGTGCCGTAAGGATTCGGGACAGGGATAGGGACGGCTGTGCGGCTCAATTACATTGGCGATTGAGCGTAAAATTGTAATGCCTGATTTGATTTCACGTGACAAAGGAAAGGAGCATAGACAAGCACATGGTGATGGGGTTACACATAGAAAAATGTGCCTCTTAGTAGCCAAGTATGTTTCATATTAGGTAATTTCTCTTGAAACCTTTGCTTTAATTAATAAGCCCTGTAACTTATTTTTCTACGTCTTTACAATCATAAATTACACAAACTTCTGCCGATGAACGATTTTTCTGCTAGTGCTGAAATATGTGCTGGATTTTTAGGACATCCTCCCGCCCGAGAAGCAGACTCCGAGGCTCGTTTTCGAATTGGACACACCCGCTAATTTGCTTGGCGCGCGACACCTTTCGGTGTGGCGATGGAGCTGCAGCTGAGAGGCAGGCGGGGAACTTAGGAGCTGGGGACTCGGGGAGTTGGAGTTGAAGGTGGAGGTGGCGACCCGTCATGGTCACTTCTTGGGGCCAGCGACCAGTGTCCAAAACCGAGCCGAATGCTGCTTTGTTTACACGCCGTGCTTTACGCCTTTCGGTCGGCACTCTCTTTCTGCCTTCCTGGAAGTATTATAGTAAATTTTCTCGCACATATCTTGTGTGTCATTGTCGCCTGGTCTCCGTATCCATATCGGTCCATCTCCGTATTCATTTCCATAGCCATCTGCAGCTCCCTCGCTCCTCCCTCTGCCAGATTATTAGTTATTATTTTTGTCATAAATGCAAATTAGCTACGCGCAATTTGCATATTCTACATTAAACCTGAAACGCATACTGTCTCGGCAAATCCAGTTGGGACTGGAGCCTGAGGATGGAGGGAGACTCCGGGACTTTACTCCGACTTGGGTGTATTTTACGACTCGGCTTGACAGAGTGTTCACTTCGTTTTCTTCATTGTTTAAGCACATTTTCGGGAGGAAACTTTCCTTTTCTAAGCATGTTTAAATATTTTAGCAAGGGAATACTTAATCATAATGGTTCTAAAACAGAAATATTTGTATTCTTGAATGTTAATCTAGATACAAATAACTCTGAAATTCATATAGGAACTTTAAATCGTACGAAAGTGGTATAACTAATTGAAAGAATCATTAAATATATTCCATATTAAACCTTTAAGGAAATTTAGATATTGGAACATATTCAACTGAAATACTTATAGAAATAGGTCTTAAGAAACCAGATTTAATTACAAAATAAACGGCTTGATATGTAATGAAGTCAAAAAAAAGATGTTTGGGTTCTCAGTTCTTTTTTTTACTTCCTTGTGTGACCTTTTCCTAGTAGTCCTAGTTTGATATAAAAAATTTAAATTAATAAATTTAAAATCCTTAGTAATTTCTATCTTGAATTGAATAGATAAAATATTGAATTTTTGAACTCTGTCTAAAATATTTGTCATGTGATATAACCTTTATATTGTTTATATTGTTTGCCACTATTTCTAATAAAATAAAAACATACAATCAAGAAGAACTCCATAGAAATTGTGACAATTTTGTAAAGTAGGTATCAAGAGATAACACTCTTCATCTTGTCCTTGTAATTACAAATTCTACCAGTACCAATGAATTTAAAACAAAAGGATAAAAACTAAGTTTTAAGTTTCCCAAAATCCTTTCAGCAAAACCGAGATTACTAGAATCGAAAGCTGTTCAATTTCCCCGGTCCCAAGAGAAGGCCATAAACAAACCCAAAAGATTCGTTGACTTTGGCTTAATGGGGACTGCAGCGAATTCTGCAGAAAGCCGAGGCTGATGACCATAGCGTCTGGGATTGGGATCCCGGGATCCCGGACTCAGAGAGGGGACACTTTTAGTGCAATTCGATTTGCTGATTTTCCTTTTCATAATTATAAAAAAGTCTTTCGGTTGGGCCGCTGCATATTTGTTTTCGGCAGTGATGCGTTTATGGTTTATGGTTTCCCTGTTTTTTTTTTTTTTTTTTTTGGTTTTATTATTTTCGTTTAATTGTTATTGTTGCTAAACAATCAGTTCTCTGATTCTTTGCCAGGGACGACGACGCGACGGCGCAAAAAGTAACCTCCACCGACGGCATTGTCGGAGTTGTGGGCGTCGTATTACAGAGACTCGGTGACATGCCCTCGATGGCAGTGACGGCGATGGGTTCTTTGTTTCCCTTACATATGTTTTTCAAATGCCTTTGCCCCCACAACAATTCGCATTGAATTTCACTTGTTTGCAGGCTGTTATTTATTGTTATTTTTGTTAATGTAGAAGGAAGGTTCCTTCGAAGGATTCCAAGGGTTATGCGCGTCATCCGTTGGGGATCTCGCCACCTCACTCACCTCGGGCAGCTATCCGTTTTGCCGCTGGTAATGTTGCAGTTGACGAACGTCGATGTAATCCCAATTGGCAGGGCTCAGACTCCGGCTCCGAGCAAATAAAATATAAAGACGCTTTTTAACCGAGGAATGCTGCCATCGATTTTAAAACAAATAAATTGAAATGTGCTGCGGCCCAGCGAGTTTTATGTTGCCGGAATATAGGTTTTTTTACGAGCCCGTTTACTGAGATTATTGACGAGCTTCGCTATTTGTTAGCAATTGTTTCTTTGCTCTTTTTGTTTTAACTTTTTGTTGGTATTTTTATTTTTCATTTGTTTCTTTTTTTGTTTTTGTAACTTTTAGGCACGACAAGCAAAATATCCAGGATTCCGAACGGACGACGTGGACGCGCAGCTGAACCAGCGAGCAGGCGGCGAACGAATGACTACCAAATGGACCGAGCTCAGCCTGCAGTAAGTAACTGGGGGCAGCAGCAGCAGCAGAAGCAGCAGCAGAGGCGGCGGCGGCAAGTGATGTGGAGGCGCGACGAGTGCGCAGGCACACTCACAC